CACACACACACACACACACACACACACACACACCACAGCCTTTCTGTATGGATATGTACTTGTATATTGTGCTTATATTTGTGTGTATGCATAAAAATAGATGTGTTTCTATTTATATGTTATATTCACAATAATTTATGTGCCAACCACTGGACTAAATGCCTTCCCAGACCAAGTGGCAAATGAAGTGCCTTTTTCTTTGTGTATGAAAACTGAAGCACAGAGAGATAAGTCACCTGCTCAGCAGCACTCAGCCCAGTTTGCGGTGAGCCAAGGCTTCAACCCTGGCGGTCTAATGAGGCTCTCCACCGTGACATGTTTCTCTAAAAGGAACTCAGACACGCACCATGCCATGGCCTAAGGAAGGCCCTTGTCTTGACTTACCCCATTCACACAAGATTGGTGCCAGAAACAGCACACAGGGATGGGAACAATGGCTATGGAGAGATGGGAGCTGGATTCTGCCTCACCTGTCCTGAGACACTGATGGAGTGCCCACTGCATACCGTGTTAGGTTCAGTACTATGGGACGCGGCTACCATTCATCCTTCACGTTAGGGAGAAGCGTCGATGTGGAGGACTCTCTTGCACTGGTGCTGTGGTAAAGTCTTCCCAACTTAGTCCTGGCCTCAGTCCCCTGAGCTAGCTCCACAAGCCCAGATGGACTTTGAGAAGGCCAGAGCTTTAGAAGTGGAAGCCCCAAGTAAACTGCAGTGAAATATATCCCGTGAGCTTGACACACAGAAACTCTCAGAGCCCATGGTTTGTATTTGACAAAGGCTGAGGGAGTGAGCTTCCCAGAGTTCTGGCCGTGCTGCAAGAAAATGCAGCCTTCCTGGTTGTATAAGGTGGTCACATTTCTCAGAACCTCAAGGCTTGCGTGGAACTAGTGAACATTAAGCGTTCAGCCCAGGGCAGGCACACTGCAGGCTCTCAGCAGCTGCCAACATATTATCGGTGGTCACCTCACTGAGCCTATGACTCAGCTGTAGAACTGCCTGCTCATGAAACTCTTTGCTTCCGGAAAGCTTTTCCATCCCATTCTAATGTTTTTTGGGGTTGCTCAAGATAACTTGGCATTTTGCCCTAAAATTCATTATATGGGGGCCGGCCAGATAGCTGAACAGACTAAAGTGCCTGTTTAGGCAGAGCACAGTGGCAGGGGTTCGATCCCTGGTGTGCCGTGCTGGCCCCACCCCTGGGCACACTGAGACAGCAAGTGAGACTGGGCATGGTGGTGCGTACCTATAATCCCAGTGCTTGGGAGGCTGAAAACAGGAGAAGCACTATGAGTCCGATCTATGTAGTGAGATCCTGTAGACCCTGTAAGACCCTGTACTAAAGATATACAATTAAAAAAAATTGTTATATGCTTAAGTGCCAGGAAGATATAATTAGATAGGTAATATAGATATAAATGTAGTTAACATTTAATCACCTCTCAGTGCTAAGAAAAACATTATAATTGTTTGCTTTTTACAAATAGAGACATTAAGTAAAGTTAAGCAATTTGCATACGATTACACAGCTAAGAGGGAATGTTTTGCATGTGTGACCCCAAAGCTCATGCTCTTAATTACTACAGTGGAATTTCTGGAAACTAGATGGCCTCCCCTGAAGCCAGATTCAGGCCAGAACTGAGGCTGAAGAATTGCCATTCTTGCTTTTATCCTCTTGATCATGGTTCTATGACATCCATTTTTCTATTGACCTTAAGGCTTCTTACCTGACCTGTACATCCACCAGTAGCAAAAGTCTACCCAGACATCAAGTGAATGCCAACATGGTAGTTTCTCTACTAAGTCAATGATAACACTGCTAAGTTTGAAGCAGATTACTTTTCTTCATACTTGCGTAGAACTGCGCTGGGTTTAAATACCCTGTTTTGCTGTGTGCTTACAACTGTTGGACACAAGAATGACTCTTTTCATTTCACAGCTGTGAAAACCAGGCTCCAAAAGAAGCTAAGGCCAAAGATTCACAGAGAAAAATGGGAGAGCTGGGCCTAGCACCCAGCTCACCTAGTGACATCCCAGTTTGTATCATCATGTGGGGCTGCCTCCTCGCCACCAACGTAGGCTAAGACCTTGACCCTGAGTGGGCCAATGCCTGTCACTGCTTTGTTCTGACTTTTGGTGGGAAGATTTTCAGGTCAACACTGACTCCAGATCTCTGTGCTCCTGGGAGCTTGTGCTTCCATTCTGTTCCACACCCTTGTCTGTCTCTTTTCTTCAAGAAGTAGAGAATACATGTTCCAAGGAGGCACACGTGCCTTCTGTCCTCTACTCCAGATCCTTCTCCAAGGTACAGAGGACTTTAAGGAGAAATACACAACGAGCTGCTTGATAGTTGCTGAAAGCATGTACCAGTCAGTGGTAGCTTCCTGCTAGGAGGGAGAGCAATTCCGGGGAGGCTGGCATGCTGGCTGGGGGAGGGGAGGCTCCAGGAATGAAAGGGAGTGCGCCTGGAGTCCAGGGTCTCATCCTCATCAACTTTGCCTGTGGCCCAGGCACACAGGAGCTTTACTGGGAAGGTTGGTCTGTGCAGGGCTGAGTGCGAAGCACCATTCTTTCTGTGACTTACTGCTGGTGGCAGAAGTGGCCAAAGGAAGTTGTTTCCCTTCTCTGGCTTTTTGGGGAACCCAGACAGCAGAGTCTCAGTGAGATACGAGAAGGAAAAGTGAAGGGATATTCTGCAGTTCCTCAGCAGAACATGATGGGAGGTTTGGGGCTGTTTTTTCAAGGGCTCGGTGGCTAAAGCCTGGTGACCTGGCCAGCTTCTCAGGAAGCTCGATGACTCTGACACCCTGAGCACCCCATATGTGGGCGGTAGGGTCTGAGTCGAGGAAACCAGCAGGCGTGGGGTTATTTTTGGGCCACCATGACTCTGCTCAGCCAAACTGCGATCTCCTGGTACTGTGTGAAAACACTGGCTCCCATGCTGGGACTCCTGGTGTGGCCTAAGTGATATCTGCCTTTGGGGAAGTGGGTGGTATTTCTAGGGGGAAGAGGCCTCCTCTTACCAGCAAGGAATGAGCGCAACATGCATGGAAATAAGATGTCCTCAGTCTACCTGTGTTCTCAGATATGTAGATGGCAAGTCCTCTGGGGAGGGCTGAGCAGGAGCAGGAGCCCAAGATGTGTTTCAGATGTCCCAAGAATCTCACAGCACTGGGAATGCCGCTGTCTTTGCTGGTATAACTGCTCACAAGCAAAACTGTCCTGCCCGGGAGCTTCTAAATGCTTCTCTCCCCACTACTCTTTCTCCACATCCAGGACCCAGCAGGCTTGACCAGCCACAAAGAAAGAGCCTTACAATCTGTCTGTAGAAGAGGCCTTGGACAGCTGAACCCCCAGCACTGGAACCCTGCAAAAACCCTCAGACACAGGCCAGTGGGAGAGCTCCCTTCCTCAGGCCTTTACCCGACCAAGCATCTCAGCACAGAATGTTCTGGTTGGTATTTCTTGAACATAAATCTTTATTCCAATTGTGGCGGCTTTGATAGAAAAAACAGGGCACATTTCATCAAGCTTTCCCCTAATCAAATGGTTCTCCTGCCAAGGCTCCCTGCGTTTCCAATTTGCCCTATTTGGACTGGGTTGGGGGTGGGTCAGGACGGTCAGAGCTGTAAAGGAAATGAATGCTATTAATTGCTCTTTTAGCCTATGGACAACTTGGTCCTGTTGTCTTAAACCCAGAGCAGGTATTTTATCCTTGGGAATGAAGGGGATGATGGGCAGGAGAGTAAAATTTCCATGTGGGATATATGGATTGTGGCCTGAGGGAAAATACAAAACAAAAGTTGCAGGGGAAGGTGGTAGAGCGAGGTTGGGTCAAGTTCTGGGGCAGGGGATCCTGTATTCTGCCTGTCACTTTCATTTCTCTCTCTAAACTGACTGCCCTTGAAGCACTCAGTGTTCTTCAGCACATTAAAAACAAAGCAGAACCAAACCAAACCAAACCAAATCAAACCAAACCCAACCACAAAGCTACTCAGCATGTTGGTAAAGTTGAGAGGACAACTCCTTTCTCTCACTGTGCCCTCTGCTGCCCTCACCTATAACTGTCTGGTTCTTCTTACTGCCTGCCCTGCTTGCTTTGGTTATTGGGAGGAGCAGAGAGCCACTGTTCCCTCCTAGCTTGGCTCCCCTCTTCTGTGAATCTTCCTGAACTTCTCTGTTGGTTCCCACTCCATTTAATTTTGTCTTTACTCCCCTAACCCTCTTCACCAGCTTCGTGGCCCAGCCACCCCTGGCCACTTAGGGGAATCATCCCATTAGGGATAAAAATGTTTTCAAAAGCCAGATCCCTGGCTTCTCTGCTTGTGAGCTGATGCTGGGGCCACTGGAAGCTGCCGCTGGGGCTGAATGTGGGTGGCAAGAGTGTCAGAGGCCCCGATGTGTTCGTGGGGTAATGAAGTCTTTCTGCAGAAAGCCGCCCTGGGATAAGTGGAGAAGCAGCCATCAGCACGAAGGTAATCGTAACATGAAATCAGATCTACCGTGACAGGCCTCGTGAGATTATTTGGTTACGACTCTTCCAGACAGCAGATCTCCCTGTAAAACAAGCAGCCTCCCAGGGCTTCGGTGCCGGCCTTCCCCTGTCTATACAGTGAGTCTCCCCAGGACCCGCCCTGGGCCTCTCTGAGGTCTAGGAGAGAGGTGATCTTTCTTCTAATGAGAGACTACTGACATCCCTGAGAGAAGTAATCAATGCTGTGGGGCAGGTAATCCAGGGATTAGGTAGATTTGGCTTTGGAATGTACAACCAAGTCGCAGTTCTCAGATATCCCTTCCTAATCATGCCCCACTTGGGCTAATATCTGCAACCAGTTAACCTTCCTTTCCCAGAGTCATAGTGCTGGCCCCCAGGGTGAGAGAGTGACCTGTATTTACAGGTGGACCTCAGAGGGGGCCAGGCCCTGCAGGGGGCCATTCAACCCTCATATTGCGAAAACCTATAGACAGTCTTAGTGAGAAGAAGGACTACAGTGCCAGCACACGGGATGCTTCAAAAATTTAATAAATAATGATTTTTTAAAACTGTATAAACTATAAATTACCATGCAGTCCTTATAATTTAAAATAATTTACAGGTTGAGGTAGGGAGGGGCCCAGGAGTGTGGAGGGGGAGGTGGGGACCAGGGCCTTCGGGAGGGTCAGCCTTGCTTCGCTGCCTTCCTGCTGAGCACACACACGCAGGCCGTGTCTATGCGGATGAAGCGCCAGGCAGCCTGATTGTCGTCTGTGGTCAGTGCCTTGACAAAGGTGTGCGTCGTGGTGCAATAGGAGTTCCAGTGCTTGGAGTCGATGCCCCGGCACCCGCTGTCCACGGGACTACGGACCCGGCACTTGGTCTCAAAAAAGTACTGTTTGAACGCATTTTTGTTAATGTTTACCTCTGCCAGCACGGTCACCTCTTTGCCCTTTATGTCCGTGGCTGTGGTCTTATCCCCCACCCACACGCTGACACTGTCACACACTGAGAACTCCCCCATATGGAAGACCGGGTGGGTGGATGACCGCTTGCTCCTGTGAGTCCTGTTGACAGAAGCTGCACCGTCCACCTCCAAGTCCAGATCCTGAATGTCTGTAGTCAGGGGTGGGGGCTGGGTGCTGAACAGCACACGGGGTGAGTGCAGTCGCCGTTTCTTAAACAGTTTGGGGTCCACAGTGATGTTGCGGTTCTGCCCTGCCACCCGGGCAGCTATCTGTGCAGCAGGGGCGCTGCGGGCTCTTCGGAGGGCTGTGTCAAGGGAGTGCTGGAGTTTAGTCCAGTGGGCTTGGGGGACGGTGTCTCCCGATAGGACATCGCTGTCTGAATATGGTTCTGCCTGGATGCCGATCAAAAACACTGTGATCAGAGTGTAGAACAACATGGACATTACGCTGTGCGCCTGGGGGGAAAGAGACAGGAGAATTAGCCAGTAGACAGTGGGAAGTGTTACCGAAAGGCTCTCGAGAGGCTTCAGGTTTTGGCCGAAGACTGAGCACTGAACACGCCTTCAGACACTAGTCTTTTTTTTTGGGGGGGGGTCATATATTTTATTTTTATTTTTTTCCTCTAGTCTATATTCTAGAATTTTATTTTATTTTATTTTTATTTATTTATTTTTCCATAATTTTATTGAGAAACAAATAGCAATGAGACAGTTTCAAACCAAATTGGTAGGACAGTTTCAATAATTAACACATTGCATACATTCTTCCTAGTGGTTATTGCTGTACAAGATGTGGACATGATATCCTATTTATAAACATGATTAGAACACATCCCTCTATTCATTAAGAGAATATAACTATATATCTATCCTAACCACTTTGAATACACAGATAGAAAATGGACATTCATCTGTATCCCCTTTTTTTTGTTAAGTTCCGTTATTTGAATATTATAGGTGTGTGAACTCAGCAAAATATTCTAAAAGAGTCCAGTAGCCCATAATAGTATTAGGGCTTCCGCTTGACTGGCAATGTCAGAAATTGTTGACCTGAGTCTCCTACAGCTAAACATAACACCATGGCTTTACTTCTTATACTTCGTTTTTATACTTTTCTGCTGGATGGGTAAGACCAAGGTAAAGCAGGACCTATGCAACATGAGTTGCAGCTTTTGGGTCTGAGAAGGTCAGTGAAATCCCCTCAGGATTTATCCTGAGATCCTGTACCTCAGATTGTAGAACCTTTGTCAGTGTCAGCCATGTGCAGACACTAGTCTTGAGTAGACTCTGAGACCTACTGACTCACAGACCTTGTTATGAATTCTCAAGCCAGTATATTTAGCAAGGGACTTGTGGCTCTGGGACCATGCTGGTCAACTACATGCACATGTCCAACTGCCACCCTCTACACAGAAACATGCTAGTGCTAGTGGTCACTCTTTGGGTGAGGGTTTTGCACTTTTTGTATGTGCTCACTTGTTCTCATTAATTCATGAGTCAGGCTAGAGATTACTATCTTTCACACACAAGGAAACTGTCACAGAAAATCAATCAATAGGCCACAGTCACAAAGCTGAAGCCAAATACAGCCCCTTGAGCCCTCACTAAGTGAGTTTGTTTCTCTCTCTATCCATCCTCCCTCCTTCACTTTCTTTACCTTTCATTCTGAAGCACATCTTTCCTTTTTATTGTTTGTTCTGATGCTAGTGATGACCAATGGTACGAAGCTATCTGTTCCCGAGAGGGCTCTACATTGCACCGCACTTGGTGAGCATTCCAACCTTTCGGTCCAGTAATTTTGAGACAGCTTTGCTCTAGGGGTCTACTAGCTGCTCCTACTAAGTCCCAGTTAATGCCTGTAGATGCATAAAAAATGCCACTCCCTCCATCCTCCATTCCACACCTTTTCATCTTCTCCTCAGTAGGATCAGAGATGTCTCCTAGAGAGCGTTCCATAAACTTGTAATTCTATCTTTGCTCCACCACCTTCACTCTGAAGGTCTATCAGGTTCCCCTAATAAAAAGTGGTGTCTTGGCAAGGTATAGTGGTGCATACCTGTAAGCCCAGCTACTTGGAAGGCTGAAGCAGGAGGATTGCAAGTTTGAGACCAGTCTCAGCAAATTAATAAGACTCTGTCTCAAAATTAAAAAAAAAATACAAAAGGCTAGGAGTATAGCTTAGAAGCGGAGTACTGATGTAGCATGTGCGAGGCACTGGGCTCAACCCCTAGCACCATAAAAACACCAAAAAAATGAGTGGTCTCTTTCTATTCTGAACTTCGGAACAGTCTATCTGCGTGTGTGTGTGTGTGTGTGTGTGTGTGTGTGTGTGTGTGTGTATTCTTTCCTGCTACATTTGTGTAATTTTTAAAAAATCTGCATTAGATGTAGGGTTAGAGAACTTCGGATATCTAGCCCAACTACTTGTTAGCAAGAAGAAAGCCACTTAATCCCTCTGAGCCTTTGTTTTCTCATTGATAAATGTGGACAATACACTATTTTCTCAGCATGCTTACTCAGCTAAGTGGCTACTCATGCAATCTGTGCTAATTCTGAGTCATTCTGATCTCTTTGTGTCTTCTTCAGGGCTATTGCTGATTATCCACCTTCTGAGTACCTTTCATCCGTGGCTTTTCAAGAACCTTGCTTTCCCTTTCCCAGACTTCTTTCCAAGCCAGTGTTTGGCCTGTCTCCCACCGCCCATGAGTCCTGGAGGTACGAGCATGTTGTATCCATCTGCGTAGCTGCTTATGTTGTCCCTTAGAGTGTCTCTCTCTCTCTCTCATTTTGCCCATAATGCTGCACAGCCCTCTCTCTGTCCCCCTGAGACTTCTTTAGAAGATATGTGACATACATTTCTTGCCATGCCATGTTCATTGTCTTGCATGTAGCAGGATCTCAAAAACTACCAGGAGAAGGAGGGCAAAAGGGAATGGGGGTGGCCAGAGGAGCCTGCCCCCTTATTTCTCTTCACCGGAGCCAGTCAGGGGTCCTTTGTGCAAAGGGCTACACACCACATTCCCAATGTGCTGTGAAACAGTGAGGTTTTTCTCAATAGTTATTCAGCTTTTATTCAGCTGGGATGGACAGCTCTTTGGTGAGATAGGAAACCACCAAATTCTTTTCTCTTTGGTTATTTGGAAGAATGGTTCTGTTTGCTCAAGTTGCTATCCAGCCACACAGAGAAGGAGGTGATATACCTGGGCTTTGACCACTATCAAGTTTTCTGGCTAGTGGTCTTGCTGATAAATGCCCAGCCAACTCCTAAAGAATCGATCATTTGTTGGCAGCTAATTCAAGCCTTGTACGTTTGCTTCTTTGCTTGTTTCATTTCTTTCTCCTTCTCAGTCTATGTCTTTCATCAAGTGAATTAAAGGAGAAGAAATAAAACTGAAATTCATTCCTTTATACCCAAATTAGTAACACTTATTAGAATTTGGATAAGGAAATGAAGAAAAATCGACGAAAGCTTACAGCTTCAATGGAAGTAAGAGGCACTCTTCTCTTTGTTCTCTACTGTCTTTCCCGGTCTCCTTTGGGAAGCTCATTCTCTTCTGGGGAGCTCATGAGCTTTCTGTGCAGCCAAGGCCCACACCCAGGTCTCCAGCCACCTGCTCCCCTGGAGCTGGTTGTGAACCTCCAGCTTTCTGAGGACAAGTTTTCACAGATACTGGCATCTTTGTTTTTTTGGTGTGGACGATTGAACTTAGGACCATACGCTTGCCAGTATGAACTTAGGACTTATACTGCTGAGCTATGTCCCCGGCCCTAATACTGGCATCTTTGATCCCAACCCTAAATCTTTAACAAGTGTGGTAATGTCTCTTTCCTTCGGTGTTACTGTATTTTTTTTCTCCTCTGAATTTAATAGCATCAGGCCCGTTTCTGACTAAGTGATGGATTACAAAGCAGTTCTGCCACTACCATTGCTTTTGACCATCTTCCCAGTCTTCCTAAACCTGCTTACCTGTAGTTTCCTTTTCCTGTTACATCATTATGTGTTCATCCACCAGCACCAAACCCTAGCTCAACCCTGCACTCTGCCTTTCTCCTCTCTGTCCTCAGTCTAGTCCTCTATCCAGTCTCCTTGGTTCCGGTGTGGTGACCTTCCTCAAGACTGTACTTTTGTTTCTAACCTCACATTTGTACATCAGGTTTGGGAACTATCTTCCACCTTGCATCCTGAGTCTTCATCTCTCTTCTTCCAGTGCTTCTCATTCCTGCTATACATATACAGTTTCCCAAAGCACTGCTCTGGACACATCACTCAAACAAGCCAGTGGTAGGCCTTTGTCTAGTGGGCTAGGACTGCTCATCCTGGCCTCAAGCCATCCCTTCTAGTCTCCTCTCCTAGCTTACATTCCAGGTACACGAGCTCTTGGGACACCCTACCTTGTGCTTCCCCGCCATTGCCCTTGCTCCTGTCTCTGCCTCCTTCCCCTTGCCCCAGAAGGCTCCTTTTGCCCTTTCTGCTCTCCTTCTCTGCTATGGCTTCTGTCTAGATGTCCCCCCTAAAGGTTCATGCAGTGATAGCTGTGGCTTTTTAGAGTTGGCTGAACCTAGAGTGTGTGACTGACTCATGGCTCAGTGCTAGGATTAAGGCTGTGTGAAAACTAAATCAGCCCACTGATTAGGTTAGCATCATCCTCATCCTGGTAGTCTGGATAAGATGAAGGGACAGAAAGAGGCTGTTAAGGTCCCTTGTTGCTTTGCTACTTTCTGCCTGCCATGTCTGTTTACTTCTTGGAAGACAGTCTACTTTGCAGCCAGCTAAAGATGGACTGAAACTTCTACAAATTAGTAAGCTAAATAACCTTTCCTTCTTTAAAATTAGATATTGTGCATTTTGTCTCAGCAACAGGAAAAATAAATAACACAAGAGTTCTTGGGAATGGCTTGCAGGAAGAGTATGGAAAGGTTGTGACACCAGCTGAGAAAGCAGAGCTGGAAACGCTTAGGCTGCACTTGATGGGAAATTCTGAGAAGGCTGATAGAAATCTTACTGGTAAAGGGAGGTTTCTGCTGGGAAGAAGGAGTGCATTGGCTGTTGGATGCCAGACTGTGTGTGTTACGGCTTGGCAGAAATTTAGTATTGTGCTCACATCCCGAAAGTTTGCCTGAGACTGAGAGTAAGGGCAGCAAACTACTTTGTATAAGAAATTTCAAGGGAGTCTAACATTGAGGCAGTATAATAGCTATTGTTGGAGGCTTTTAGTGGATTTATATTGAAAATGAAGAACAAAGAAGCGAGAAAAATGATTTAAACATTTTGAATTCGTCAGAAAGGAAGCTACGGTAAAGCTGTGGACTGAAAAGATAGAGCAGAGGAGATCTTGATTGCAGAGAGGGAGAAGAACAGAAGAGATGGGCTGAGGGCATCACAAGGAGGGGCCGGACCTTGCACCTCACAGCTTTAAAATTGCAAAAGTGAAATATTTTGCTTTGATAAGAGAGCCCTAGAGCACCATGTTCCAGAATGATGATGATCTAGGGAAGTTCTTCCTCAGGATTCAGGTCCTAAGTGCTAGACCTACCAAGAAAGAAGCCCAGCTATGCTCCAGCAGGCAGCAGACCTTGGCATTGTCCACATGGTGCTGGTTTTAGATGAATGCATAATGCAACAGTTGTAGAGTCATGAAGGCTTCCACCCAGATTTCAGAAGAAGACCTGGGAAGGGCTGGCCAAATAGCTCAGCAGATTAAAGCACCTGCTTAGGCAGATGCAGGGACCAGGAGTTCAATCCCCTGGGCTGCCATGCTGGCAGTGCCCCAGGGGTGTGCTGAGACAGTGATTGAGACTGGGTGTGGTGGCGCACACCTATAATCCCAGTACTTGGGAGGCTATAAACAGGAGGATCGCTACAAGTCCAATCTATGCAGTGAGACCCTGTATACCCTGTCCTAAATACAAAAAAAAGAGGAAGACCTGGGAGGCCAGGCAGTGTGTTCCTGAGAGGGTCATGTGTAAATCTGTGAGAGTAAAGCTGAAGGTCCAGTGGAGACCCAGAATATTGCAGAAGCCTGAAATGTGGATTGTCCAGGGAAAACTGCAAGGAATGAGCAAAGCCAGCTAAAGAAAGAAGCCATAGGAGCTACAACCTCCAAAAGTGCCGGGGGGCAGAGCCACTTGAGCCAATTGGCACAGATCACCTCAGATGCTGCAAAGAACTTAATGTTTTCTCTGATGGATTTTGAACTGGCTTTGGTCCCATTCCTTTGTATCCATGTATTTTTAGAGTGGTAATATTTACCTTGTGCCATGGTATATCAAAAGTGTTAAGCTTTCCTTTTATTTGTACAGAGGCTTATAGCTAAGAGTTTGCCTTAAATCTCAGAGGAGACTTTAGACTTGAACTCTTCATAATCCTAAAACTGTTAGGACTTTGGCAATTGTTGGAGGTGAACTAAATGCCTTTTTTTTTTTTAAATAAAAGGATGAATATGAGTCTTTGGGTGGCCAGGGTGGAATGTGATGACTTGTGTTAGATGCTCCTCTCAAAGATTTAGGCAGTCACAGGTGGGGCTTTCTTAGACTTGGCTGAATCTCGAGTGTGTGATTGATTCATGGTGCAATGCTAGGATTAAGGGTGGGTGATTACTAAATCAGTCCACTGGTTGGCTTGGAACCGCCCTAATCCTGGTAGCCTGGATACCATATAAAGACAGAAAGAGGCTTGTCTTGTCCCTTGCGTGCTTTCTTTGTTATTCTGCTCACTACGAACTGTTTGTCCTCAGTGATACCTGTTTGCAATCCCTCCCTGCCTTGGAGTCAGCTGATTATGGACTGAAACCTCTACCAGCTGTGGACTCCATAAACCCTTCTCTCCCTCACTTTAGTTTTCAGGTACTTTATCTCAGCAATGCAAGAAAGAACTTAGACATTCTCTGTCACTGGAATCCTTTTCCTTTCAACACTTAACTTCAATGTGACTCTCACTGGAGAGGTTTTCTAATTCCCAAGAGGATACACTTCATTTTTTTTTTCAAGTGATTATGTTTAAAGTATCAGCCAGTGTTAACATTTTAAACCTTACAATATTATAAAGTTTTCTACTCTACATATCCCGTGCTCGTTCTACTAAGCCGATGACACAGAGTTACTATAGTCTAACGCTACTTAAGCTTACTATTCAGTTGTCATGTGGTGCCTACCTGATGTCATTTAATGTGGACGGAGATTGGCATCATGGACAAATAGTTTCATTTACATTTGAAAATATCTCAAATAGGTATCTGTATCTTGACTTTTGGATTAAAAGCTAATTTAAAAAAAAAACAAAACGGAACAAAAACCCTCTTGATTTGCTCATAGTGTGTTCCTAAAATCCTTTTATGTATTAAGGAAAATATTTTTTAAAGTAATCATTAGTGGATACAAAGACACTAAATTACTTATGTGCCTTTTATCCTAGTGATATAATTCAGAGTTCAGAAAAGAATCCTCTTTCCCTGTTTAAAGCAAACCAGGGGGAAAGTCTGTTTATTTTTGAAACAACCTTTGAAGCCTTTGTCCTGAACAGATGACGGCCCTCCATGTGGCTTCATCAAGTACAGCTCTGAGAGGTGAATGATTAGTTGAGAGGATGCAATTAGGAGCTCGCATGAAGGAACATGTTCCACGTCAGGTGCGAATGCTCTTTGTTAGTTCTTCTCCACCCAGAATGAAAGATAAATGATTAAGAATAGGAAGATGCATCAGGATGGTTTTGATTCCAGCCTCCAGGGCCTTTGAGGCTCTCCTCTCCTCTTGCTGGCTAGCAGTGCATTCAGGTGCAGACTACCAGGATTCACACCCTCCAATAACAAGAGAAATTCCCTGTACTTGACGGATGCTCTTCACACAGTTTATCCTCATCTGACTGGGTGAAGGAGCTGCTGAACAGAGCTGAGCCACAGCCCAAATATTTGTGGCTAAGAAAGTCAAGATTACAGGAAGGCCTGGCAACCATGGCTGTGGAGGTGCATCGAGGAAGGAAGCGAGATGAGTCAATCTGCCTTGGAGACAGAGGTGCCAAGAGCGGACTGGGATTCTTGGGATATGGAGTCACTAACTGTTGACAAGGAGGAAATTCTTATGGCTGAGGAAATCCAGCCTCTTTCACCTCCTTCGCCACATTCTGAGAGAGGGTCAAGAGTTATTTATTGCTTTTCACTTGGCCTCCCCTCCGAATGTAAACTGGCTGTTGCCTTTGGTTGTAACCTGCACTCAGACACTCTGGGCTGTTGGGGCCAGGAGGAATTCTGCGGTTTCATGATTCCTTAGGAGGAATCCCTGAGGTGTCCCCAGCTGGACACAGAAGAGCACTGACAGAATAAAGTCCAGCTCCTTTGCTGGCATCTTCCAGACAGGATTTATTTTATTGGAGGAGACAGGGCCTGAAACAGATAGTGACTAACACCTAGAGGATCTCCAACTTCAGGGCATCAGAATCGCTGGACGGATTATGAAACCAGATTGTTGTGCCCACCCCTATGATGTCTGATTTATAGATTTGGTTATAGCAGGAGAATCTGTTTGTCTTTTTCTTTTTTCTTTTTTAAATGTATTTAGGACAAGGTCTACAGGGTCTACAGGGTCTCACTATGTAGGTTGGACTCATACTGATTCTCCTGTTCTCAGCCTCCCAAGAACTCCCATTACAGGTGTGTGCCACCACATCCAATCTCAACGACCATCTCAGTGTGCCCCAGGGGTGGGGCTGGCACGGCACACTGGGTGTCAAAACCCATCCACTGCGCTGCTTTAGTCAGCTGAGCTATCTGGCCAGCCCTTCTTTTTCTTTTTGTTTTTGTCTTTTTGAGAGAGAGTCTTGCTATGCAGTTCAGGCTGGTCTTGAGCTCACTTTATAGCCCAGGCTGGTCTTGAACTTTTCATGATCCTCCTGCCTCAGCCTCCAGACTCCCAAGTGCTGGGATGATAGGCATGTGCCACTGTGCCCAGTGAAAATCTGTATTTCTAATGAGTTCACAGGTAACACTGATACTACTGTCCAGGGGAGCACATTTTTGAGACCCACAAAACTAGTGTAACTTTCCAGAGGAGAACCTTGAAAAGACCGGTAGACCTGGGGTCATGCAGCTAGTGTGAGTCTCAGCCGGTGACCCTTGGTCTGCTGCAGAGGTCTGAGAAGGCACATACACTGTTACTGATAGGTCCTGGAGCATGCTCATTCAGTCCTCAACAGCAAAATGGAATTTCTGCTCAGATTGTGGGTGTTACCTTCTGTTGCCACAAATGCAGACATAACAGAAAATTTAGATATTTAATTCATTTTATGTCTGGTACTTCAGGTATCTGAGAATCATATAGACTTGATCCCCAAACACTCGAATGCCTAGGATAGAAATATGTGGCAAGAACACTGGTGTGTGTGAGTACTTGTGAGTTAACTCCTCTCCAGGGTGGGTGTGCAGGCTGCGTGCATGAGGACAGAACGTGCTGGGCTCAGAGACATGTCTTACAATCAATTAAGTGAAATAAGGACCACCATTGCCCCCCATCCCAACAAACCTGAGGCATAGTCTATATTAGCTTCATTTTACAGATGAGGAAACAGAGCTGGTATGAGAAACTTGGTCAGCACATATGCATGAGGAGGTGGAAGTCTGAGCCAGGCTTGCTACTGACCCATTCTGGAACTCTTCTTCACCCTTCTCCTCTCTCTACTGGCCAAGGGCATGAAGAGTAGCTATGGCCCATCTTTGAAGGCCACCTCCTTAGACAGCCTAATGAATTGCATGGAGGGTCTAACTTATGCTGTCTACTTTAGGCCTTGTGTTCTCTTACTCCTGAGATGTCCCTGGTTATGGGGCCAGCTTGAGAGCATGAGGGGCTTCCCTTCTGGACAGACTGGAAGGCCTCATTAGCAGAATTGCTAAGAGCCAGGCCAGGCTCCTCTGATCAGCTAAGTCAAACTGCCTTCCTCCACCTGTCATTTCCAACTGTTCTGTCCTTTGAGGCCTCTGCTCCCAGAAGTTCCAGACCTAGAAACCTTGGTGAGGCAGTCATTCCACAGGTACTTACCTCAGTGTGGCCAGGATAGAAAGCTGCTCCTTTGGCAATGCTGTTATTGGGCCCAGACACTGAACTGAGTTTGGGTCCAGCATGCCATCCGGCCCTCTGCACTGCACGACCACAGGCCAGAACTCTATAGAGAAGGAGAGCTGATGTTAGATGACAGGCCCTTCACCATGTTCCCCGGCAGATGGATGGATACTGGCACCCTGGGAAGGGAAGGGATGTGCTAATAGACAAAGACTATTTTCTGATTTCAAGGAATTTATCAGCATTGGGGGCCAGAAAGAGCTAGAATCCAGCTACCAGGATTGAAGGCCCTGCTTTTACATCAGTCTGTCTCCCTAGTTCTTGGTTTCAGAGTGGACACCATCAGCATTGGTTTGGTATTTGTTGCAGGTGCTCCTAGACCCACACCAAAGCCCTGCTTCAGTAGCCCCCTAAAGTTGCATCCAAATAGAAATTACTGAACACATTGCGTATGCCTAGATGTGTAGATTCAACTCTGCATCAATATAAGATAAATCACAGAAAATATTGCGTGGTTTCTTTGATATTAGAAATACAAAATATAAGTAAAAAGCAAAATAAAATATAGATTATAGGAAATAGATATTTTTTGAAAAGTTAACAGGACCAGGAGATAGAGGGAGGGTAGTTGGGGGAGGAAAGAGGATGAGAACAAGAATTAAAATGTGTTTTGTACATTTACCAGCTTCCCACAAGGGATGTAATTATTATGTACTGCAAACATTACCAATAAAAAAAATTAAAACGAAGATGAAGTCCTGATGATTCAGAGCAAGTTGGTGGTTTGATAAAAATGTGCAAGGCAACCTTATCAGCTGATATATAACACGGAGCTTTTACTGAATGAGGATGGGACTCTCAGAGCACTATGCTGAACGTTAAATTTTAGGGATTGGTAGATAACACTGTGAGGAAAAAAATTCCATTTGATATGAGTTGTTTTTAGAGGTGACAGGTGCATACTGCCAACTTCTTTAAGCCTAATATATATATATATATATATATATATATATATATATATATATATATAGAGAGAGAGAGAGAGAGAGAGAGAGAGAGAGAGAGATGCGTCTTTCATTTATTCAACTATATTTCCTGAGTGTCTACTATTTACCAGGCACTGTTCAAGGTGTTGGAGACACAGCAGAGAATAAGGCAGACAAGATCTCTATTCATGTGGAGACCTTATATCCTTGCATCTATAAATATCTTCAGAGTTTGTTTATGTCGTAAAGGAAATATGGAGTCTGATGAGAGAGGAGGTGGATCAAGGGAGTGTAGAGACTGTGAAGAGACTTTTTGGTGAAGAGCTCTCTGAGCAAATGGTTTTTCCACTGGGATCTGAAGGATGAGGGAAAATGAGAAAGAGAGCATGCCATGTGGAAGGAACTGCAAGTGCAAAGGTCTTGAGGTAGAGATAGGTTAAGGTGACTAAGTGTGAATGACAGATGCCTAGGAAATGGGCTGACAAGGTCTGAAAGCAGGTCCATGGGAACATAGCCAGGATCTGCAGTTGAATCTTGTGAGCACAGGCACAGAGTCAGGGTTATAAGAAGGAGAATGACATATTTTATGAATAAACCAGTCAGCTCTTATGTCTATCCCAGAGTTTGTTGCAAAGAAAATTCTAGAAGGACACCTTTATCCTTCCTTTCTGCATTCTCTTTCTCTTTCCAAAATCCCTTCTTCCCATCATTTTCTAGGGGCAGACCCCTACTATTTTTTCCTTCAGTCTCCTCTCATCCTGTGCTGTGGAGGCAGAGGTTGAAGAGGCTATCACAGCACCTCAGATCCTCAACCATAAAGAGGAGCTAGGGCATGAGCAAGAGCCCTGGACTGACTTCATGCTACTGTGAAGCATGAGTTTAAAGACTGGCATGTTTTCATTGCTCTTCCTTTCTAAACCCTCTCAAGATATCCTTTTTGTCTCAGAAGTTAACAGAAAAAAAAATCAATACTCATCTAAAATTTAGGCCTAGAAGTAAAATATATTCAAATTTCTTTAAAACCATTAGTTTGGTGGCAGAGAACATTTGCACTGTGTCACAGGCTTGGGTTTGGCGCAGAAGAGGGATGATGGCATTTCCTCCTGAGTAAGATGATGGGGCATTGTCTGGTCCCATACTCATGGGCAGGGGGTCTCCTCTATTCCCCAAGCCCTTCATCTCGGTGTTTGGCTGAACCTCACAGGTAGAAAGGTAGAGAAGCCTCAGGCCTGCACCCTGACCAGTGTCCTTTGATTTCTTGAGGCCCTTGGCAATGTTAGGCACTGCTGAGATTCCTCTTCCATGGACCCAGTAGCCAGCACAAACAATATCTAAGGTCTCTTTGATTCGGAATATCTATGATTTTATGACAGTAATGTTTGTCAATTTATATTCTTATTGGATTAATAAGTGATGCTTTTTCTACTCTTACATTTATTTCATTAACTAACCACTTAACTTTGTAGGCCCTGTATGAGACAGTGTGCTAGGTGCTAGGAATTTAAGAAGAATAAGATATAATGCTTGCTATACCAGATAATCTAGAACTAAGGAAATGCAAGCACAAGACCAAGAATTTAAATTACACTTTGATAAATATGATGTTTGCTTCATGTGTTATGGAAATGGAGTAGCTAGAATCCAGACTGACAGTCATGATATATGTTCAGACAGGAGGAAACACCTAAACAAAATTCTTAAGAAAAAAAAGTACATCAGGGAAGAAGAGAAAGAAAGCCACTAGAGAACTGAGTTTAAGAGCTGGGTAGAAGTATGACACAGCTTAGCAGGGGTGTGGAGAAGGGTGAAAAGAGAATGTGATGGCTTTTATACATTAATTAATAGGTGCTAATTAACTTTGAAGCTCTCACAGCTGTGGCCTGCTTCCCACAAAATGCAAAAGGCTTTCACTTTTAATATGTGGAATAACCAAAGAAATAAGAGTAACTGTCCATAAGTATTCTGGATGCTCCACTAAGACCAGTCTACCTGCCAGTCAAGATCATTAGCATAAGTGAGGTCAGTCTAAATAAGAAAATCTGCAACTTAGGCAGACCTGCCTTCTTGGGGTGAAGGTAGTGGTTATCTACAACCAATTCCTGTACCTGCTGTATTTTTGACACATGTTAGAAATGCAAATTCTTGTGTCCAAATCAGGCATCTTTAGTCACAATTCTGGGAGTGAAACAAGACTATTTGTGGTTCAATAAGCCCCTTGAGTGATCATGACATACTTTTAATTTTAAGAACCATTGCTTCAGGGGTTCCATGATAGCCCCATCTGACTGAATCCTCCCCAGGGGTAAGGCACCTAAGGCCAAGAGGGTACCAACCTGGAGTCAATCTATAGCTAAGGTCTGCCCACCTAACTGTTCCTGGCAATAGTCAAGGGCTCTTCCTCTTTCTAGGTGCCTGGAAGCAAATATGTTTGTCTGGCTTTCTATGGACTATTGCTTCAGCTTCCTCTTCCTTTAGGTGTTAGTGGTATTTTGGTCAATTTCAGCCAAGAAACTTAAATGAAGGGTATCTTGTTAACAATCTGGTCACTATGCAGATGAAGGAGTTGGAAGAAGCTGTCTTGGCCTCTAGAGGTAGTTTAGTGGAAGAACTGTGGCACCAGCTGCATCTATTTAAACCTTCTAACTCTGCTAATAAGCATCCCAGAAGTCCTCTGTGCTTGAATTTTGTGAAAGAGTTCATCTACTTCTCTGGCTCCCAGTTTCTGCTTCTTCACATTCCTTTACAGCAATGCTTCTGAACTCTGGCTCTTTTGGGGAGCTTTACCTACTCCTGCTGCCTGTGTCCCATTTCCAGGAAGCCTGCTTTTGTTGGTTTGGAGAGCTTCCTGGGGGTCAGAATTTACCCTAGTGTAGAGACCAGGGTGAGTGCCACTGTTGTGCAGGAAGACCCGGAAGCTTAGCGCTGCTTCTGGTGAACTGGTAACCACGTGATCATGGCTACCAACCCTAGGCTGGTACCCTCTTGGCCTTGGGTGACTTACTCCGGGGAGGATTCAGTCAGACAGGCCACCATGGAACCCCTGAAGCAATAGTTCTTAAAATTAAGTGTATATCGTCATCACTAATTATGATATATAATACTACAGGTACAGTGATTGATTGTAGATAACCAATTTCTTGAGAAATGGTCAAGAAACCAGTAGTGTTCAGAAAATATGAAGTGCAGATACGTTCACATTATGAATAACAGAAAAGTTTTGAGAATATGGCTTATCCATGCCAGGGAAAGTTGTCCCTGTTGCTGCTTCCCAGATTGTCTAGATCTAAATTGACATTTGTGAATTCAAGGTTTTGTTTTTACTTTTTTCCTGATACTATCAATGTTTGTGTGTGTGTGTGTGTTGGCCTAGTATTTCATTGGCTCAATAGTGACAAGACTAAGGGCTATTGGCTGACATTTTGAATACTAAAGTCTTGAGTATGCTTGACCCAAAAGACTTTGGCTTCTTCGCCACAGGTTGTCTACAAAGCCACTACTGCCCTGAAGAGCAGCATACACTACATCAAAGATGTCAGGACATCGGAAGCCCCCTTCTTACTTCCCACTTGGTACAGTGTAGTTGGGAAAACTTACTAGAAATGTAAAGCATTAGAAATATGTTGTTGATGGTATAATAATTTTTGGTGTCATTGTAGTGATTTTCATCATTGTATCTGTTCCTTTTAGTTATTATCTTTGCCTGTCAGTTCTTACTTTGAGCCTGAGCATAGGGGAAAAAGAATTTGAGATCTTTTGTGTTGCAAGTCTGTTTCCCTAATTTTTATTCTAATTAAAAGTTTTCTGCTATGGAATATTACCATGAGGTTTGCTGACTAGAAGCACTCTTAAAAAATGTAGTTTTGGCTACTTCGGGATGATTTGATATATTTTAACTATTTAGTGGTTTTGGCATATCCAATAGGAAAATAGCGCGTCTGGTACCAAGGACTTAGAAAGCCATTAAAGTTCAGCAAAATGGCTATTCTTTTTGACTGAATGTTTCTGTGCTGACAATTTTGAAGTGCTTTGTCACATTCCTTAGAGAGAAATGGTGCTCTGGCTCGTTGGGAGATTGGAAGTAAATGACAAAACTCTTTTCAGCATTTCCCCAGAGAGA